ATTAGGTCCAAGTTGTACTTGAAGTTGTTAGGTTATGAAATTGAGACTTGCCGTGAACGTGTTTATAGTAAACAAGTATCTTGTGTTACCTTGATAAGATTATGGCACTTTTAGCCGGGCGCGGTGGCTCACGCTTGTAATCTCAGCACTTTGAGAGGCCGAGGTGGGCGGATCACTAGGTAAGGAGTTCGAAACCAACCTCGTCAACACAGTGAAACCCTGTCTGTAGTAAAAACACAATAATTAGCCGGGCATGGTGGCGGGCACCTGTAATCCCAGCTACTCAGGAGGCTGAGAGAGGAGAATCGCTTGAACCCAGGAGGCGGAGGTTGCAGTGAGCTGAGATCCGGCCACTGCACTCCAGCCTGGCGATAGAGCAAGACTCCATCTCAAGAAAATAGATTATGACATCTTCTTCTGCTTTATTTTTCTAGGAAAACAACGCTTTTACTGAACGTGCACAGGCGTGGGGATGGGAAGGCAGCAGGAGGGGTCAGGGCGGAGGGGCCCCGGCCTGGAGCGGGGAGGCTGGCCGCACCTGGGGGTCACTGGCACGGGTCCCTGGTGACCCCTCGCTAGGCGGCCGCATTGCCCAGGATGAAGCCCACAGCCGCCGCACTGCCCAGAACGAAGCCCACGGCCAGGGACACTGTCTTGCAGAAGGCGCCGCGCAGCTGCTCCACGTGCTGGTTCAGGGTCCGCAGCTGGTCGCGCAGCTGGCCCAGGATGCTCAGGAGGCGGTGCAGGTGCCCCAGGGTCAGCAGCAGGGCGGCGTTCCGCGGCGGGGATGCGCGATCCTCGGGGCTTCTGGGGCCGCGGGAGGCATCCGCAGACCTCTGCGGGGACCGGTTGAAGCGGGGCGTCCAGGCGGGGTCAGCGTGGGGGCTGCGGGCGGCCGGAAGCGGGGCGGCGCCTGGGAACGCGGGGCACGCAGTCTGGTGGGGATCGGAAGGCGCGCCCATCCCTGCCCCGCAGCCCCTCGGCCGCCCACGACCCTCCGCCCCCGCCTACCTGATTGGCAGCGAGTCGGCGGGGGTGCGCTAGGGGCTGGACCGCGGCCTTGCCGGGGGCGCCCAGGCCCCCGGTAGCGGCGGCGGGGCAGTTTGCGCACGTGATCGCCAGGTAGCCCCGTGAGCTCGGGGGTGTACTCGTCGAAGGGCCAGGGCGGCTGGCCTTGCGCCTGGGGGAAGCTGACCCGGAGTAACCGGTAGTGGCGGCGGCGGCCCTGGCGAGGGCGGTGCACCTGCTGCCCGGCCAGCGCGCCCAACACGAGGCGGGAGGGGGCCAGCGCCTGGCGGAGCAGAGCGCACAGCAGCAGCGCGCCCAACAGCAGCTCCGTCTCCCGCGCGCTCCAAGACGCGCGCGGCGCCGAGCCCGGAGACACCAGCGACAGGGGCCCCGCCAGCGCGCTCGGCGAGACTGGTCTCTGGGGCAGGGTCACCGGGGCGTCTCCGGCCGGGGGTTCGGGGTCGTGGCTGGCGGACAACGGCCTCAGGGGCCAGAGCGGCATCCCGGGGTAGGCGCGCGCCCCCGGGACCGCCCGCACGCGCGCTCTTCTGTTTCCGAATGTTGCAACATTTATAGGTTAGGAAGGCTTTGGCTGTAAGTAGCAACACCTGACTATAATTTACATTGTAGAGCTGTTCTGATTCCTTATACTATGTAACAAAACAGTTACGAATTTGTGACTTAAAACAATATTCATTTTGCTTCCAAATCTGCAATTTGGGCAGGGCTCAGCAGGTGCAGCTCATCTGCGCTCCACCTGGCTTCAGCTGGGAGGGAGCCGCAATCAACTGGAGGCTTATTCACTGACATGCGGGAGTAGACCCAAATGTCTGGGGACAGGAACAGCTGGGGCCCCTTGAGCTTTTATCCCTTCGTGGTTCCTCCAGGTGGTCGCTCTAGCATGTTACTATCTTCCATTTGTTAGAAACAACAAGCTCAAGCCGACGCATAATTATGGGAAAAAGAACTAGACTTTTCCTTTTGATGGGAAGAGAGACAACTTGTGGATATATTTTTAAATCACTATAAGGAATCTATTTTTCTTACACAAGAAAAAGTAGAAAGATCGATATCCCAAGGCTATTGCAATGGCTCAACAATGTTATTAAGAACCCAGACCATACTGGGCATGGTGGCTCACGCCTGTGATTCCAACACTTTGGGAGGCCAAGGTAGGAGGACTGTTTGAGGTAAGGAGTTCAAGACCAGCCTGAACAACATAGCGAGACATCCGTCTCTACTAAACTTTTTTTTTTTTTTTTTTTTTTTTTGAGACGGAGTTTCGCTCTTGTTACCCAGGCTGGAGTGCAATGGCGCGATCTCGGCTCACCGCAACCTCCGCCTCCTGGGTTCAGGCAATTCTCCTGCCTCAGCCTCCTGAGTAGCTGGGATTACAGGCACGCGCCACCATGCCCAGCTAATTTTTTGTAGTTTTAGTAGACACGGGGTTTCACCATGTTGACCAGGATGGTCTCGATCTCTTGACCTCGTGATCCACCTGCCTCGGCCTCCCAAAGTGCTGGGATTACAGGATTGAGCCACCGCGCCCGGCCTTTTTTTTTTTTTTTTAATTAGCTGGGTGTGGTAGTGCATGTCTGTATTCCCAGCTACTTGGGAGGCTGAGGTAGGAGAATCACTTGAGCCAAGGAGGTTGAGGCTGCAGTGAGCTATGATCACACCCCTGCATTTTAGCCTGGGTGACAGAGCAAGACCCTGTATCTAAAAAACAAAACAAAACAAAAAACAAGTCAGTCTCATACCATGGCTCACACTTGTAATCCTAGCAGTTTGAGAGGCTGAGACCTGAGGCCAGGAATTTGAGACCAGCCCAGGCAACACAGTGAGACCACTGTCTCCAAAACAAAACAAAACAAAACCCAAGCTCTTTTGACCTTTTTTCTCAGCATCTTTAGGGTCTTGGCTTATCACGTTATGTATAACCATGCAGCTGACTTCCTCTTAAATTGCCTCAAATTGCATCACATGGCTCTCTGTCAGGAGCTCAGTTGAGCTGGAAGAGAGAGCTGAGCTGTCAGGGGTTACAGTAGCCACCTGAAGCTACCACAAGCCGAAATGGAAGTCACAGCAAATAATTTAATCCTGCACTGCAGTAGTACAAACAGGAGGCCAACGCTTGAGAAAGTGCTGAGCTCCCCTGGTTAATTTCCCTGTGTAACAGAGCACCCATATGGTTAAAAGTCAGGGGAATCAGCACAGATCTGGGGGCTGTCTCACCCTTGAGGGGGCCCCAAACCAAAAGCTCCCTGAAGTGTTATGGACCAGGGGCTGGGGAGCTGGGTAGTGAGAGGGGGAAAGCTAAGAGTGTAAAGGTACTGAGTCAGGGTAAAGAAAAGTATCTTCCCTTAAGGGTCTCTGAGCCCTCTGAATGGAGCACCTGAACTAGGAATGCAGATCCACAAAAGGGCAGGACCAGCCAGAGGGGCCAGAGCCTTGCCGGAGACTCTAGGAGGGGGCACTGGCTGTGCAGCCTTCCTGTGAGGCCTGATGGGTAATGCCTTTGGAAAAGCAGTCGGTCAGGCCTGAAAAAAAATCACACGAGTTTTTTTTTGTTTGTTTTGACACAGAGTTTCGCTCTTGTCGCCCAGGCTGGAGTGTGGTGGTGTGATCTTGGCTCACTGCAACCTCTGCCTCCCAGGTTCAAGAGATTCTCCTGCCTCAGCCTCCAGAGTAGCTGGGATTACAAGTGCTTGCCACCACACCCAGCTGCTTTTTGTATTTTTGGTAAAGACAGAGTTTCACCATGTTGGCCAGGCTGGTCTCGAACTCCCGACCTCATGTGATCCACCCGCCTCGGTCTCCCAAAGTGCTGGGATTACAGGCGTCAGCCATCGCGCCTGGCCACACATGGATTTTTAAGCAGAAACTGAACCCCTCAAGTTCCACCTAGCCACGGGCAACTGGAGGCATTGAGAATTTCTCTCTAGCCTTGACAACAGAGAAAAACAAGGGCAGAGGTGGCTGAGAGTGCATGCCGAGTGAACAGATGGTCATCATCTCCCGGGCAGCATAAATTCCCAGAAAGAATGCTCAATTTCAATGTTTGATGATTCAACTATACATTTTAAAACATATTTTATGTTATATATATAACAAACATCAAATAAGAGAAAATGTGCGTTTGAGCAGAAAAATGTCAGGGAAAAAAATTGGGGAGGGAGGAAATAAGAGGAATGGGTAGGGACAAAGACAGAGCCTCTGAAGTCCACAAGCACAGGAGGTGCTTGTGGACTCACACCTGGGACTTTCATTTCTCAAACCAAGTTAGGTTACTGTTGGTTTCATGTGACTTGCATGGTGGGACAGGCCCTCTGTGTCCTGTCCCTTCTGCATCTCCCTCCCACTCTGCCTTGCCTCTCAGCATCAAAAAACTGGTGTGGCCTGTTTCTGGCAGTAGCAGGATAACTCCTTTGTCAGCATTAAAGATTTATAATTGGGCCAGGCGTGGTGGCTCACACCTGTAATCCCAGCACTTGGGAGGCCAAGGCAGGTGGATCACTTGAGATCAGGAGTTCAAGATCAGCCTGGCCAACATGGTTGAAACCCATCTCTACTAAAAATACAAAAATGGAAGGCCGGGTGCGGTGGCTCACGCCTGTAATCCCAGCACTTTGGGAGACCAAGGCAAGTGGATCACCTGAGGTCAGGCGTTCGAGACCAGCCTGGCCAACATGGTTGAAACCCATCTCTACTAAACATATAAAAACTAGCTGGGCATGGTGGCACATGCCTGTAATCCCAACTACTCCGGAGGCTGAGGCAGGAGAATCACTTGCACCCAGGAGGCGGAGGTTGCAGTGAGCCGAGATCATACCATTGCACTCTAGCCTGGGTGACAGAGTGAGACCTTGTCTCAAGAAAAAAAAAAATCCCAAATGAGTCCTGCAGCTTTCCAGACTTCTCTTCAAGCAGAAAGCTCTGAAGATGAATGCCCCAGCCTCACATATTTATTTACCATCTTCTCTGTTAGGCTTCATCAGCTGTGGAATCGTGCTCATGTAAAAAAGAAAGAAAGAAAGTCTCCCTGCTAAATTCATTTCTTTAACATTTAAATTTTTTTCCTGCCAAAGTCAGAGATGAATGAGCAATTACTTGGGAGCCAATTAAAATTCATAGTAAGCTATTCTCTGACCCTTGGGTTAGAAACAAATTTCCTACAAACCTCAGGAGGGTATCTCTCCTGGGTTTTTTGAAGGTGAGAAAAATTCATATCCTGCTCTCCAGTTCTCATTCCTCATACAGAGTGGTGGCCAGCATGTTCCTGAGACACTGTTCGTGCAACCCAGAGACAACTCTTAATTCCCTGCTCGGTTATTTCTCTGATTTGGACAGAAGATGTGGCTACAGCTGCCAGTGACCCTCAGCGGCAAGCCTATGGAAGTTGTGGACCAAGAAGACATGACTGAAGACAGGGAAAGATTCTCTGTTTTCTGCAGTTCTGAGTGAAATTCGATTGTTCTGCAGAGCTGAGAAGAGAACTGAGTAGAAAACTAGTGTTACCAGGTGTTTCACAGGTGGGAAAAACATGTTAGAGTCTTCTTTTCTGTGAGGCAATGATACGATTGTATGGTGTAGGATCTATGAGTGACTATACAATCAGAAAAGTCTGTGTCACAATGTTTAGAACTCCCATCCCAGCAGGATTCGAAAACTCCCAGATTCCTGGTAGTTGATAAATCCTTTGTGTTGATGAGAAAAAAACAATCTTTGACTTGGAGTCATTGAAAAGATTGGATACAAGCGAAGTGTCTCTTTCTGTCTCTATGCTTATAGAAGAGCAAACGCTTTCCAGCATGGAACATCTGTGAAGATAATATGCCATCTCTGATACTGTGCTGTCAAAGGGACGGGGAAAAAATGATTTATATAAAAAGAATGCAAATATAGCTAGCTAGTTAGCCAAGAGGGCAAAAGGAGGGAAGGCTTACATTAACCTGATCTTCACAGTCGCTAAAAACCTGACAAGGGAAATATGAATTTTAACTAGCTGCCAAGCAATTGGTTATTCATGCATGACACAAAAAGCAGGAGAAACTTAATTATCTCCTTGTCAGTTTTAAACAGAGAGGCTGTCAATTCAGCAAGTGCAGCTACTAAACATATTTCAGAAGGGCACCACCCTACCAAATCCAGCCTCAACATGACCTGAGGCCCAAGCCCCTGCACCGTTACGCGCTGTTTCTCTTACTGGGTGGCACCATGTGCCCTGAGCTCCGCCATCACCCTGCGTTTCCAGTGAGGAAACAAGATGCTGCTTCCTGAGTCACCGTCTGGCACCATCAATGGGATTCTTTGATCACATGTGATTTTTCCAGTCACTGGTCTGGTGCTAATTTCGTTAGAGTCAATTGAACAACAACAACAAAATATTAAGCACTTTGTCAATACTAGGTTCTAGGGCTCTGTGTCAAGTACCAGGTTTTCAAATATGATTTTAAAAACTGCTCTCAGGACTTTTTTTTTTTTTTTTTTTGCGGAGTTTCGCTCTTGTCACCCAGGCTGGAGTGCAATAGCGCGATCTCAGCTCACTGGAAC